AAACAAACAAACTCATTGCTGTCAAGTCGATTCCGACTCATAGTGACCCTACAGGACAGAGGAGAACTGCCCCATGGGGTTTCCAAGGAGTGCCTGGTGGATTCGTATTGCTGATCTTTTGGTTGGCAGCCAAACCCTTAACACTATGCCACTAGGGTTTCCACTAGCCCCTGAAGTAATCTTTAAACTAAATAACCAAAAATCCATTGCCGTCAAGTTCATTCTGACTCATAGTGACCCTATAGGACAGAATAGAACTGCCCCACGGGGTTTTCAAGGCTGTAATCTTTATAGAGGCTGGCTGCCACACCTTTCTCCCATTGGGCAGCTGGGCCAACCTTTACCTTAGCAGCCAAGTACATAACCACTTCATCACCAAGGCACCTTAAACTAAGTAACAGTTTAGCTCAAAAAGTAAAGATTGTCACGTTGAGTATTGTGTGCTTTAAAAAAACCATAGAAATCCAAATAAACAACAGCTATTTTAAAGCATAGGGGAGAAGGTTGGGGGGCAGGGAGTTTCAGTCAGTGGGAGCGGAACAACTAGAACAGAAATAAAGAGAATGTCGACACAATGTGAAGAATGTAACCAATGTCACTGATCATTATGTCTAGAAACTGCTGAATTGGAGGGGGTTTTGCTGCGTTTATTTTCACCAAAAATAAAACAATAATTTTAAAAAATATATTCAATTTAGTTCAATTAAGAAAAAATTGTTTACTCTTGAATCTCAGCCTACATCTAACTGAAGTTTTTTTTTTTTTTTTTTTTTACGTGTGTGTGCTTTAAACATATAGGTAATGCAACACTTGCTATTTCAACAATCGAACTGCAGATTTTTTTAAAGTGGATTCTTCTCTAGAATTCAATAAATGTTTTTCTCTTTTTAAAACCATTTTCTGAAAAGGGATATTTTTCTTTACTTTCTTGACATCAGGAAGCACATTGCCAAGGAAAAACAATGTGTTTGTAATACACAGTCTAACAGCTATTTCTCTTGCCTACTCAAACTGGCAAAGTGTAACAGGTACTAGATTCCTCAAGGTTCAGCGCTTTTGCTTCTATTTGTAACAAGTTTACATCTAAATGTTTAGTTGCTAAATTTGTGATTTTCACAAATGTATGAACAAAGTCAAACTTTTCAATTTATCAAAAATAATTCTTTGCAGACCAAAGTTAAGCATACACGTGTGCTCCTATGATGCTAAAACCAACAAGAGCCTTAGACACCGGTCACAAATACAGTCTGGTCTCGCGAATCTATTTCCTCCGCAAAGCCAGGTCAGCAACCACCGGGACAGAATTTGTAGAGGCATGCGACAGACTTGAATCAAGAGATAAGGGGTGCGGTGCGATAAGCTGAACAGCAAACCAAGGAAAGGAATTATGGGGGTCGTGGATCCAGGAAAGGACTGGGAAAGCCAGGAATCCGGCACCGGCTACAAAACCTGGCCCTAAAAGGAGGTTAAAGCTGCTCAGAGTCACTCTGCCCGACGAGATCTTACGCTCCGGTCTCCCATCAACTTCCGAAAGGCAGACGTGCACGCCCCCAAGCGCTCTTCCCGGATTTCATTGGTTGCTCCAACCTGACCGTCTCTCATTACTTCTCTTTCACTGGTCAGCGATTTCCAAGCTCCAGCTGTCACAGACAAATCCCGGAACCAGTCATCTCCAATCGCCGTCTTCAGCGACAAGTAAATGACATAGAGCTCAACCGATAAGAAATGAAAGTGAGGATGTGAGGATGCGGCTCCTCCCCCTTCTCATCCACTGGTCCAGTAAAGAAGGAGCCCTTGGTGGGGAGTGGTTAAAATGCTCCTCTGCTAACCGGAGGCTCAGCTGTTCGAACCTACCAGTGGCTCCATGGGAGAAAGATGTGGCAGTCGGCACCCATAAAGATTACAGCCTAGGAAACCCTATGGGGTGGTTCTACTCTGTCCTGTAGGGTCGCTATGAGTCCAATCGCCTCGATGGCAACGGGTTTGGTGTTTTGAATTTTGGTCCAGTAAATGGTAGAAAAGATCGAGCAGCTGATGCTGACTACCACTCCATAAGGGCGGAAGAGGATGATGAAAGGAGTGATGGAAGGGGGTGACGTGGCAGTGACGGGGGTATAAACTGAAATGAGTGGCGAAAACGAAAGCCAATCAACGACCAAATTGGCCGGGCCCTCCGCAGTCTCCATTCCTCCCTCAGCGCTAGAGCCTTCGGGAAAGCGCCAATGAGCTTGTACTGGCACCTGATTGGCTTTCACTGGAGCCAATCAATGGAGCGGCTGGCGGACGCGTCCCACCCCGGCTCTCACTGGGCGGTGTAGAATGCCAGGGCGGAGAGAAATACCAATGTCCGCCGGGTCTTCCGCAAGTGACACTCAGCGGCTCCAATCGACACCCTCCGTCCCTGCGGCCAAGCCCTCCTCCCCTGGCGGGCCTGGCGGGGCGGGGACGCTGCGCGGCGG